CCATGTAGAATTAAGGCAGTTCTGAAGGCGAAAGGGGGTCAAACACCGTATTAGTATGGTGTTCCTAATAATCCTTTAGGTGAGTGTATAATACATTTAATAATGAAATATAATAATGAATCTATCATACTTAATTTAATGCGGCTCCTCGTGGCTGTGCCTTCCACTCCTCAAAGGACATCCCTTCTGCTTTTTCACAGAATAATTTATTTTCAAAACTTCTGTATCCATACTGCTGTCCCCGTGGCTGTTCACGCTGTGTGCGTGTGTAGTGCTGATGGCTCACACGTGGTGGGATGGGGAGACCCTGGGAACTGGCCAAGGCTTCAGCTGCCTTCCTATGCCTCCACTCGGTGGTCCAGCTCCAAGTCAGGTTGCCAGGGGAGTCTGCCTGCAAGGGTGTCGGCGGGGCAGCTATGGCTGGTTCAGGTGTCGGCGGGGCAGGTAAGGGGGCATGAGGGACTGGGGTTGTGGAGTAGGAGCAGCGGCAGCTTGCTGCCCTGACAGGTCTGGAGGGGAGGAAAAAGTGAACGGCCTCAGGTCAGAAGGGGGTTCTGCAGGCTCTTGCCTGGGCTGAGGTAGAGGGGCAGCTGATGTCAGGCTGGGGTTGGGGAAAGGAATGTCCATGGACAGCACAACACGTTCTTGCCACTTCACTAAATCATTATGCCTACGAGAAACAAGATATTTTTAAAATAACCTTAGTCAGCATTTATCACTTACCAAACAGACAGTGTACGCTGGTTTATTTAGAAAAGCTGCAGTGATGTGGCCTGCATGAGCCCTGGGCTGCTCAGGACCAGCCATCTGATCCTGCCGGACGGCAGCCCAGCGTTTCAGCCTCACAGAGAGCAGAGCTCCAAGCAGATGGCCTCCACAAGCCTCCTCACGTGAGGCCACTGTGCAGGCCCGGTGCCTTGGCCCAGCAGGCAGCTGCTCAAAAAAATGTAGAAGTTAGGCCAAGTGTAACACAGCAGCAGAGAGTGCATGCCTGGATATCATTGTTAAGAACTGCATTCTCAGCAAAAAATACTGAACAGCTCAATAAATGTAAACATCTCTTGACATGAACCAAGACATAATGAAATAAAAAAAAAATATTGATATATTAATACACTGCTCAAAAAAATTAATGGAACACTTTTTAATTACAGCATAGCATCGAGTCAATTTAACTTCTGGGATATTCATCTAGTCCGTTAAGTAGCAATGGGGGTTGTTAATCAGTTTCAGCTGCTTTGGTGTTAAAGAAGTTAACAACAGGTGCACTAGAGGGGCAACAATGAGACGACCCCCAAAACAGGAGTGGTTTAACAGGTGGAGGCCACTGACATTTTTCCCTCCTCATCTTTTCTGACAGTTTTTTTCACTAATTTTGCATTTGGTTAGTCAGTGTCACTACTGGTAGCATGAGGTGATACCTGGACCCTACAGAGGTTGCACAGGTAGTCCAACTCCTCCAGGATGGTGCATCAATATGTGCCATTGCCAGAAGATTTGCTATGTCTCCCAGCCCATTCTCAAGGGCATGGAGGACATTCCAGGAGATAGGCAGTTACTCTAGGAGAGATGGACAGGGCCATAGAAGGTCCTTAACCAATAAGTAGGACCAGTATCTGCTTCTTTGTGCGAGGAGGAACAGGAGGAGCACTGCCAGAGCCCTACAGAATGACCTCCAGCAGGTCACTGGTGTGCATGTCTCTGAGCAAACAATCAGAAACAGACTTCATGAGGGTGGCCTGAGGGCCCGACGTCCTCTAGTGGGCCCTGTGTTCACTGCCCAGGACCGTGGAGCTCGATGGGCATTTGCCATAGAATACCAGAATTGGCAGGTCCACCACTGTCGCCCTGTGCTTTTCGCAGATGAGAGCAGGTTCACCCTGAGCACATGTGACAGAAGTGAAATGGTCTGGAGAAGCTGCGGAGAACATTATGCTGCCTGTGACATTGTTCAGCAATACCATTTTGGTGGTGGGTCAGTGATGGTCTGGGGTGGCATATCCATGGAGGGAGACACAGACCTCTACAGGCTAGACAACAACACCTTGACTGCCATTAGGTATCAGGATGAAATCCTTGGACCCATTGTCAGACCCTACGCTGGTGCAGTGGGTCCTGGGTTCCTCCTGGTGCACGACAATGACCGGCCTCATGTGGCGTGAGTATGCAGGCAGTTCCTGGAGGATGAAGGAATGGATACCGTTGACTGACCCCCATGCTCAAGTGACCTAAATCCAATGGAACACCTCTGGGACATTATGTTTCGGTCCATCTGACGCCACCAGGTTGCACCTCAGACTGTCCAGGAGCTCAGTGATGCCCTGGTTCAGATCTGGGAGGAGATCCCCCAGGACACCATCCGTTGCCTCATTAGGAGCATACCCCGACATTATCAGGCATGCCTACAAGCACGTGGGGGCCATATAAACTACTGAGTACGATTTTGACTTGCTGCAATGAAATTTCGGCAAAATGGACCAGCCTACCGGATAATTTTTTCACTTTGATTTTTGGGGTGTCTTTGAATTCAGCCCTCTGTAGGTTTATCATTTTCATCAAACGATGTGGCATCCTTTCGTTCCTAACACATTACCCAGTCCATATCAGTATAGATATACAGCATGATTTTTTTCGCCCATTGAGATATGATGTGTTTTCAAAGCGTTCCTTTAATGTTTTTGAGCAGTGTATAATGCTTCCTGGAGATTTTTGGATCTTTTTAAGTAAACAGGGCTGTATCTATGTTAAATATTGCATTCTCAGCAAAAATTACTGTGAAGTTACTGACATGACTTACAGCTATTGATGCTGACTACATAACTTTTTCTGCAAAACGTTTAATCGACAGAGAGGTGGATACGCTGTCGTGCGCCTTTTCACAGCGCGTTTGTTTCGCAGACTGCACATTTTACAACAATCGACAGCATTCTTATGCACCATGACATATTGGATCGACAACATCAAACTAACGATCTGCAAAATACGAAATCTTTTCTCGGGCTAAACACCCGAAAAAAGAATAATAACGGGGCGAGATTTCTGCAGCTTCTCGGACTTACCTGTTAGCGCTGTGTAGGACGCCGCACGCGAAACAAAAGGAGTGACAGATGCGACGAGATGTCACCGCCGCTGTGCACTTCATTCAAATAAGCGCGCCGGCCGGCCGGCGGGCCATATAGCTGCGCCGTCCAATCGCGCGGAGCCGGTCTCGCAGCTCGGCCAATCGGTCGAGACAGTTCTGAAACATTTCGGTGAAACATTTCTTCCGGCCCAATCCCAAACCGGTCCCTACACACTCCGCCTCACCACTCCGCCTTCGTTTGCGCGTTCCCGAGACCTATCGCCATGTTGAAGTGTGTCTCAAAGCAGCACGGGCTAAGGGGGAGTGGTCGATTATGCCCTCCTGAAGCGAGTCAGCAACGATGGTGGCTCGCGCGATTCCACTACCACTTCCATATCCCACAATTCCTAGCGAACAGGAAACAGAACAGCGCGAAAAATGAAAACAAAAAAAAATACACAATGTCATGTTCTTGATAATGTAATAATTGGATTCTAACCGCTAGCACTGTGAAATATACATAGGAAGTCACATGTTACATGTTATAATTCATCGCTGCAGAAAAAAATTAGGAAAGCAGCTATTTGTACCTGGTCAGTACAGATTGATTTTATTGTGATCCGATTTAGAGAGATTTCGTGTACTTTACAAACTAGAAACCACGCGAAGAAACGTTCGTACGCAAACTCGATCAATATCACACCAGCAATAACAATTTATGTTTCATATTTGCCTGTTTTCCCCAGATCTGATCTGGTATTTGGTACAGAAGTAATGCGTAACGTTTAATGCGTGTAAACTAAGCTATGGTAGAAATTTTACAGTCGTAAATAAGACGCTCAGTCAGTGCAATAAGACGACGTATTCGTCGTCTTCTCGCATTAGATAAGCTTTGTGCTTTTTTAAATAACTGATATGTCATTAAAGAAAATACAATACAGCTTCTTCATTTTGTCAGATCACTACGTAATGCATTTCCTCCTTCCGGTAAAGAAGACTATAAAAAGGCGCTGCGAGGGCAAGTCTGTCTCAAATCTTTTTGGTGACAATTTCTTTCAGTTTAAGTGCATAGGGCGTGTTGTGAGGGTGACTCAGCGGAAGTGTGACTCGAAATGAAGGCGGAGTGTCGAGGGTATAGTTTGGGATTGGGCCCAAGACTAACCATTCGATACTACTCCGTCCTGCAGAAATACCTCAATCGAAGTAGTATAATTATTAATTCGGGTTATTCCTTTCTTTATGTATAATGTTTGTATGTATCGTGTTCGTTTGTTCAATAAAAATTAACATTAAAAGAGATACAAATGGGGCACCGTCGTAAAATATGCCGTAAAGTATAATACTGCGCACGCGCGGTATGAGCGAGGTACAAGTTGGGCAGGTGGTGCGGATCGGAGTAAAGTTTTCTCTGCGGAGATGGGTGCCAATCGAAGAATCGCGATCTTTTTTGGTGGTTTTATAACGGCTGTTGCTGCTGCATTTTATCCTATATTTTTCTATCCCCTCGCACACTTAAACGAGTACAGTAAGTAATATAATCAGCGAACCGTCTCGCTTACGATTTTTGTATAATTTCTACTAACCTAATAAGAACCCAGAACCATTTATCAGTTTTATAATGGCAAGAAAAACTAAATTGTTTAACTAATTAGCAACTCATCTGATTCGTAGAAAAACAAAATAGTGACAATTTTGACATTGTCCAGTTTCGTTTGTAAGTAATACTTGTCACAAGCTGTGGCAATCATGTGACTAAGTGGGAAAAATACTATAATGTGTCCCTTATGTGTAGAACAGATGCAGAGCATAAATCGTGCCGGAATCAACCAAGCCGAAGTTCAGCCCGTTGGTAGGTTCCCTGTTTATTTCCTACCCGGACCGAAGTCTGAAACTGCAGTAGTCACCTTAGAGCAGGGTTGGCCAATCTTGTCCGCAAAGGGCCGGTGTGTGTGCGGGTTTTCGCTGCAGCTCCTTAATTATATTACTAATTAGAGGACTGATTAGCTGAAGAGTCCTCACACCTGGGTTTGAACAGCTGATCTAAAGGTTATCCCAAAAACCTGCATACACACCGGCCCTTTGCTGATAGGATTTGCCACCGCTGCCTTAGAACATTCGTCCTAGTCCCTTAAATGCTATATGAATCATTTGGTAATAATGGTGCCTGGTACCTCCAGGGTTAGGGCTGTGAATCCAGCCTCCTCATTGTGTATATGCACTTTGCATGTTCCCCCCCTTGTCAACTGGGTTTTTCTCTCGCATCCCAGCTGGTTGGCGCCTCCGTATTCCCCATATCTGATGGTAGTATGTACGTATATGTGCAGAATGTAGCCCAGCGTTGTGCCTTGTGCTGCCTGGGTTTAGGTTCTACCTACCATGAGGAAGATGAATCGATATAGCAAACATCACTGTGACCCTATACTGTATTATATGTAAAAGCTGGATAGGTTTTTGGAAGGGGGGGCTGTCACCTGTGCAACACATCATTAACACAATTCTGAGTATAGATATATACTCTTCTCCATATCCATAACATTATGTTTATAATTAAACATTATTTTTGTCATCTTATTTTAACAGGTGTGAAAGTATGGTCTGATCCCTTCAAATCAAAATGAAGGATTCCTTAAAATTCAACTCTGGAGGTTGTGTAATCATGGAATGGGACACCTATAAATGAATAGATGGGACTGAATGTAATGTACAGTGTATGTGGGATTTTTTTTTCTCCAAATTCTGTGATAATTGCAGAATTCATCCAGTTTTCTCTGGCCTTAAATAATAATAAATATGTAAACATATTGCATCTTTTTATTCTATTTGAAATTCAATTGTTTGGGTCTTTTTGAGCAAAATTCTACCAGTTTTTTTCTCATGGTGATTCAATAATGCAAGTAATTTTAGTAAGATTAATCCATTTGATGTTTTGCCTGTCATCTCTATATCAGTGAAATTCCTCATGCATAGTGCTAGGACAATAGAATTGTCTAGGGTTATACTTTCTTATTCACCATCTGTGTTCATACTTCTTATGCCAATGTAGTAGGCTACCACATTCTTTGATGCCAGGCCTGCGGTGGAGCTATAGAGCAAGGCTGCTTTTAAGTTACATTTATGAAGTGTGGTATAAATGTTATATTAAAAACAAAAAAAAAATACTAAGTTTTATGACTTACAGTATGCAAGGCAGGGATATTATCATTAACAAAAACATTTTGATAAATTGAAATAAAATAAGATGAAAATAACTACGAAAACTATAAATAATGAACCTGAAATAATATAAATAAAATACAGACAAATACTATTTAACTAGAGTAAATGATTTGGGACTATAGTCACAATGTAGAGCAGCTGCCATTTTGTAGTAACTAGCCATTTCTGTCTATCCGTAAAAAAACTATTTAAACTTATGTAAATTATTTACATTGTTTTTTTAATGATGTAAACCATTGATTTCTTTGGTTGGAATTGCCTTTGTTTTTAGGATGTGATGTGTGCTATCAAGGGTACCCCCAGCTATTCCATGTATTCATTACATTTCACCATCAACTCAATTAATTAATTAATTAGTTAAATACCTCAATGAGCTATTGATGAGTTAAATATGGTATGGTAGTGGTTGAGTTAAATAATACATTGGTTAATTCTGGGGTGACTTTAGGAGAGGTTTTGAAAACAAACTCACTTTGATACACAATATATTTTTACACCATTTTTTTGGTGATTGTTGCAGCCACATGTGATGGATATGTGCTACGTCAGGATTGTTTTTTTTTTAAAACTGCTAACACTTTTTCTCTGAGCCACAGCTCTGTGACTGTGTTATTAAAGACTGATTAACATCCACAGAAGTGTGGTCGTAAGTTATTCCAACCTCTGGCAGTCAGGTACATTGACAAAAAATGAATCCAAAGTGCCCTTTGTTACTTTTATGTAGACTATGTTCATCTGTATATCATCTATATAATGGCTCAACTTAATAACTTATAATGCCTCATCTTTTTGAGAAAAGAGATGTGTTTTCTGTGGTCATTTTCCCCACAGCAGAACCTAACAAAAACACACATGAATGTGAATGACACAGGATATGTCATTGTCCAAATGCAAGCGGTCTGTGATTTGGCCATTTCTTGCAGAAAAGCTGCAGTAAATTTGAAAAATTGCAAGGTGTTGCAAAGTTTGTTTAACTTCTGCTATTGGAAAATCACACAATCCTGGAGGGACTGATTAGCATCATTTTCATTGACTGCAAGTGACTTTTGCAAAGGACTGTTTTCCTGTATGGTTTGCCTTTTGGTTATGCTTATTTTGTGAACATTGTGAGAGAAAAATCCAAATGTAATACCCAAATGTAATACAAAAGTACTGAATGTTATGTACATGTATAATCTCCTAGCAATAGAAGAATGCACTAGGCCAGTAGAAACCATGTGTTCAAGGTCAGATGATAAATTAGGCCCTAGTCAAGAAATAGCGAGCACTGAAATACCGGAACAAACCATATATGGAAAAACACAGTAGAACGCAGGGATAAAAAGAATTGTAAGAAAAGGCTCGGGGGAGAACTCTTGAGGTATCTCCCTGGGCCCGTGCTGTAAGATACCACAATAAACTGAAGGCTGAAAAGACTTTATGCTGTCCTGGGGTCCGTTCTTCGTAGGTCTCTTGACACATCCGAGATGAATTGACACATCTAAGATGAGATCATCGCGCTAATTACGATGCGGCTAATTTGGTTCTTCAAGCACACCTGTTGTTGATGATTAGTATGGCTGGATTGAGTTGTCTAGGATTATTGCGCGTTCGTGCGTTGGTTTAAAAGGCGATATGCATCGACAGTAGAAACACTGATTATTAGAGGGTTATGGAGAATTTCAAACTTTAATAAAGACACCGGGAAACACAGCAAATGCTGCAAAAGCTAGGAGAGAGGGCTGGCAAAAAGTAGCAAACAAATTAAATGCGTGAGTGCTGCCCATGTTACATGTTCCTTGAGATATATATATATATATATATATATATATATATA